CCCCATCTAGCAGAGAATAAATGCAAAAAGCGCCTGATTTCCACCTGGTCTATCATTCCAAACTTACACAACCTACAGCATCATATTCAGGCCTGCAATGAAGTCTGACAGCTCCCTGACAATCAACATGAGACCATGTTTTTACAAATAAAAGTTCCAAATGACTAATCTATTTTTCCATCAGTGAACCTTTTCCCTGGCGATTTCGACATACAGGGATCTGTGATCCGTCATGTCACACCTTATCGAAGAGCGGGAGAAGACCAGCATTTCCAGAGAAAAACTGCATCAAAGAAGTATCACCCAAAAAAGCAGCAAACTAAACTGAAAATGTGGCTGAATTGCTGAGTCTTTGTTCGTCCTTGGATCAGATCGGGCAATGAGTTGTTAACTCTGTTCATGGAGGAAGGTGAAGGTATGCTTTGGAAGAAGATACCTCAGAAGATACCAGCTCACCGCAGACAGCGGTCCCCAGTTTTGATGTCTTCTCTTTCAAAGCAAAAGTCATTTAAAAGATCATCATAAATATTACAAAAAAACATTAAGATTCTATAAGCCTCTGCTGAACAAGAAAAAGAAAACGCAAGTCCAAAAACAAGGTTTATAAACAGGAGTACAAGAACTATGACAGTAAACATGAGTCAAAACTAAAATGACAGCACTGCAGAAATGGTCCAGATGTCACGGAAACTCAGGTAGCATTAAAGTGAGTACGTACCTCACACACACACAACACACTGCAGCATCGCAGTGCGAATCTGCACCCTGCCAGTGAATTTAGCTGCCTATAAAAGACATTTTATGCATTTTTAATATCTTTTTAAAATATTTAAATCCATCATCCAGCCTGCTGGCCCTGATAGTACTGACTCAAAGCATAGGAATAGGTTTTGGTGAATCAGACAGGTTTCACTAGACCAGACGATTTTGCAGGAAACATCCCCTTTCAATACGTCGAGCACCAGGAGTGATACCTCATATGAAAAAAATCACAAACACAGAAAGACAGACGCCGTTCACACTCACAGGAGCAACCAGTGTGTCTGCCTCTCTCTGTCCTCTGATTAGCCATAAACCAACTGTGTAATTAGAGTTGACTAACGAGTCTGTTAATTAATTAGCCTCCTTTACAAAACGCTCTCTGGAGGCCACCTCACCCGCAGGCAGCAGAGTAGCTCGTCTTTCTTCCTGCGCGTTGTCGTCGTCATCTTCCTCCTCCTCCTCGTCACAGCAGCCCGTCACTTTCAGTGCCATTTCATTAACACAACAGCACCTCAGGTCGCACTGCCTGAACACACACGGTTCTTCAGTGATGGTTTGTTCACATTTTCGCTGCCGGACACCCCTGCCTATCAGCTGAGCCGTTGCAGCGATAGACCTTGTTGTATGTTATTTACAATCACACGTGTCATACGTGACTTTGTAGCTGCTAGCTTTCAGTCGTTTTACACGATTGACTTCTAGGATGAGGGGTGCACTTTAGTTTTCCCCAATGCCAGCTTTTAAAGTTTTCAAATTCCCTCTAGTTGCAAAAACATCTTCGTAAACATGACTTCTATGACATAAACGTTATTGATTGGGGCAGTGTGTGGCTTCCAGTGTGAAGTTAGGAGACTGAGACTTTGATTGGAGTGGGGGCAGTAATGATGATATAGGAATTCAGGTGAGATTCGGGGAGAAATAGCTTAAGATCGCAGGATGAGACGATATCAAGCATTCAGAGGAAGTGGAGAAGAACTCAAGGGGGGGACAGGGAGTGATGTGGAGAGGCAGGCATCCAGCACCCAGGGACCTAAACACATCGGAGTCCTGCTTTACCTCCATGGGCTCCTCAAGCAAAGATCTCCTTTTAAGTGGATCACACAGAGCCAGCAGCAGCAGGCAGGAGAAGAGAAAACAGGACGTGGAGGGAGAAGACGTCAGTACAGCAGCAAACTCTGTCAGTCAGGCCTGGCAGGAAAGACGGAACAGACGCTTCCTTAACCACCCTAACCTAGCATATTACTCCCAGATTCACAAGCCGTAAATAAGTCATGTTAGAGTAACAGCTCTGAAAAGTGCTTTGAGGTTGCACCCCCCCCCAGCCAGCCGCTCTTGTTGCCCCTCCTAATGAGCAGTCATACAGCTCGCTGTTTCCACTGAACGCACGCAGCGTGGTGACCGGCACACGGCCTCTCGATTAAATGGCGCACTTACCAGACGGTTTGGGGCGGTCAATGATACCAGGGAATTCTTGGCGGTGCCCCCTTCCTGTTTTTCACGCCACCTCCCCGAAATGGGGAAAGGTCATCTGCACTCTCACATCCCCTCCGGAGACGGGCCGTCCCGTGACCCGTCCTCCACGGGCAACACCTGGGCTGGCATGGAGGGTGAGACCATCAGCCTGGGCACAGCCTGACCTTCGCTGCCACAGAGAACCTGCTCTTAGGGGCTCAGAAACAGCCGGAGTCCAACAACTGGATCTGCGATACTCTTGGCGAGGCTGCCAGATCTTCACCTGAAGACAGAGCAGAGCGACCTGTCAGATCTTTCCAGTTTAGGTACAAATATTCCTATGTTTGCTTAATGCTGCACTCTACAGTATAAAACAGGCTACATTTGCTGTTTAATACTATAGGAAGTTGTCAACTGATGCAAGTCACATTTTATCTAAGTCGGATTTATCCCCAATACAATTCAAAACACCTTAAAAAACACATAATCCAAAAATATACTAGCAATATCAACTAAAGAACTTACAGTGTAAATTTGCTTACAGGCATGTCGTCTTCTGTAAGCATTATCCCATAGGCTATGGATGCAAGGCAGGGAACAACCCAGGATGGGGCACCAACCCAGATTTCATCATGGGAAACCCCCCCATACCCAAGTTTAAAGAGACCCCACCTTTTATTAGCTCATTTTGTTTACCAACCTAACCCATTTGTCAGTAAAGATGAAGGACACTTTGGGAAGGGGATCCCAGCACCCGACAGCCATACTAATTAGGAACAGACAAACGACTGAAGGGATTCTGAGGGGCACTTTGGGGGGGGGGGCATGCCAGAACCAGCCAGCCGTAATCTACAAACAGCTGGCAGGATGCAGGACCGAAACACTCCACACTGGTGATGGTGCCTCTCTCTGGTCTCACACACTCACACACACACACACACACACTCACACTCACAATCACACATACACACACACACACACACATGCACACACACAGAATACCGTCAGACCCAGAGCCTGTAGGGCTTTCCTTGAATCACACAGATCCTGGCTCACAGCGCTGACCTTTGACCCCGCCTGCGTTTGAAGTGCTACACAGCTCCAGGACAGACACAGGAGGAGGACGCGGAGGCTGAACAGGTCCCACCGGTGAAGATGCGCCTGGCCCTGACCCCGATTCTCCTCTCCTCATTCTGTCGTTTCCCATTCTCTTTCCTGTATTCCACTTCCCTTCCTCTGTCTTTCATTTCTCAGATACACTTCCTTTTCCTCAGCCTCGACCCTTTATTCTGTCATTTCTCAGCCTTTATTTCCACACTGCTCATTTCATTATTAGACAGGTGATTCCTATTTTTCCAGCTTGACAATACGTCTCTCTCTCTCTCTCTTTTCCTGGATTGATGTGGACACGTCTTCCCATCTCAGCCCATTTTGGCCTTTTCCTTTCTCTCTCCCTCCTTCCCCTTTGCCATCTCTGCCACGCCCTGCCCCCCACCCCACCCTCCTACACCTCCATGGTCTCCCCCCTGCATACCCGGGGCGTCTGGAGACCCAGTGCGCTAACCTGTTGAGGTTTACCCGCCGCTCTGTCCGAGAATGACTGATGATGCATATTTCATGTTCCGCATAAAAAATTCAGAAGATCCGTTCACCTTCGTGTTTTTTCCCCCTCTTTCTGCGAGCAGGCGGAAGAAAAGCTCGCCTCAATAATGGATGAGAGAGAGCAGTTTGCGGAGGAAAGAGAGAGAGAGAGACAGAGAGAGGGAGCATTGAGGTGTGGTGTGGGATCATACGGGACACGCAGGTACGTGACGGCATTCCTCGCCGCGGATTGCAGCTCTGTCCTTGCGTACACACAGCTGGCTGCCGCTGGGAGACCTCAGTCACTCAGTCACGCACAGCAAACGGCACGTGGGGCCCTGTTTGCACAGCTTGGGATCCACCCAGTCCATCTCCCCATAGCTTGGGGTGACAGGAGACGGGCCCATATCCCAGTCCAGCAGGATGCCAGACGGCCCGCCCAGCAAAGCTGCGTCAGCCAATACGCTCCATTGCTCACACACTCACCACCCAGGTGCCAGGGGAGTATATCGGGCCAGGACTACTGGTCCTGGTGGCCCCATTTGAAAGCTGATTGGCCCCTGGAGTGTTCCCTCCCTTGTCATTCAACTATTCCAAACATATCATTGGCTAATGATAAGGTTAGCCCCTACCTTAAAAATCCTAGAATTGCCCCTCTTGCGTGGACTTCTCTAAAAGACACCTGATCTGACCAGCAGAGACAGACAACCCCCCCCCCTTGCCCCCCAGAAATGCAAACATGAGGCAGCAGAGCAACAAGCATCTGAAGGTGAAATTCAAACAGGCAGCCCAATTATCAGACTGTTTATGCCAAGAATATAAATATCCTCCTGAAACTGATCATAAAGCAACTGGATACCAGTAATGGCTACAGCCAGACCCTCAAGACTAATCTGTATTCACATTTAACGGGTTTATGTAAAGGTGGGCAGGGAAACAGCGCCATCTATTGACGAAGAGCTAAACATGCTTCTCGAGAAACGCTATTAACCAGACACTGGTAAACACCGGGTGCTCACCCTGCGCCGAGCCCAGGGGGCTGTTACCATGGTATATTTTGCTGCTAGGGAGAAGTGCAATAGGTACTCCCCCCCCCCCCCCCCCGTCTGGAACAAGAAGAGCGGCAGACAGTCGAGCGATTTGAGCAGAACGCCAGGGCCTCGGAAACACTGGTGCCTTCCTGCGATGCGTTGGGGGCATGACGCCTGACAGCTGAGCGGAACAGGAGGCATCCGGCAGAAGGGAGTGGGGGGGTGGGGGCGTGGAGGGGGGGTCTGGCTGATATCGCACACTTACAGGACTCCGCATTGCAGCCTCATTAATACACTGCTCTCGTTATCTGGCTAACGAGGGTAATGTAAACATGAGGCAGGACAAGCAGGCCGGACCCCGGGGGGGTCAGCAACCTGCCGGACGGATGGGAAGCCACCCCCCAGCCCCAAAGCAGACCCCCTCCCAGGCCGGGAACCCCCCCACCCAACACATACTCTAATTCCCGGTCTGGTTCCATGAACAAAGGTTTCAGATGCCTGTTCTGGCTGGAATGGACCACCTCTGCTTACATCGATGAATCACTTTCATCGTTTTTTTTATAATAAAAATCAATAAAAGCTGTATATAGATGGGGGGGGGGGAGACCAGGTCTGTGTAGCTGAGCAAGGAGAGAGGTACTGACTTTGGGATCAGCTCTGCAATACCTGCCACGGCTGAAGGTCTTTGTCTAACCCTGCCTATATCCGTGGGGGAAACTGACATCACCGTGTGGCTTTCAGTCTAAATATCAACACAGCACAAGACAGCCACCATCTGGGACATGATATAAAAGGTATTCTGAGGCATTTAAAAAAAAGAGAGCAGATTAGCTACAGCCACAGCTGTCTGCAGGATGGGTAAGTGGAATTTGCTTCTTTATGTGGTGGTTGTTCTCATATAAGGATGTACAAACAGGAAAAGAGGAAGTCCCGCCCCTTTGAACCGTTAGCTGATTGGTCAGTGACCAGCAGTGATAGTGTATCTGCGGCTCACGTGATAGAATTAGGGACATTTTGTGTGAATCGAGTTTCACGATAAAAAGGAGACAAAAAAAAACTTATCTGCCCTCCAGCATCCACCAGGCCTGATACCTCCCAGTAGGGAAAAGGGGCCCATCAGAGCAGCCCCCCAGTCGGAGGCGCTTCAGGCTGGGATGATAGGAAGCACAGAGGAGCAGAAGAGAAGGAGCATTCAAATGTTTCAGTGCGAAAAACCCCACTTTGAGGGGACAGAGGGACAGTAGAGAGGAAGACAGACGCCATTATCTGATGGTGGCTGGTGATTCAAAGACGGCGGCACTGCATGGTGCCAGCCAACACAGAAAGGGGTGCCCATGACCACCCCTTATCTCCCCCAATCCAGACGCTGACGCCCGCTCTCTCGGACAGGCGCCGGCTGACTGGTAATGCCTCACTCAGCCCTACGGCCGAGTCCCAGCACCCCCAATCCCAAGAGCCCCGCAGTCGCTAATCCCGCGCAGACGGCCTTTAGTGCGCATTGCAGCAGCCTACTGCTCATCCGCCTTCCTGCCCCCTCCCATCCATTCCCCCACTAAAAAGGCAAAATCTGCCCTTCATCATCCCCATTGGGACCCTGACTGCCCTAGGCTCCGACTCACTGATACCGGCGCTGTCTGGACACAACTGGGTCTCCTGAGGTCTTTGTGTTTCTGTTTCTGTCCCCCTCCCCCCAAGACCCATCTGACCCCCCCAGAGCTTGCAAAAGCCCCAACAGTGGCAGCAATGAAAGGGCTTATTTTCAGAATGACTTTCTGTTCATCTCTCTATCTGCCCCACCAGTAAACGGGTTTTTGCACAGATGCAGCCTCGTTGGAAGATTTTCTGCTCTTTCTTCCACGGCCAAGCGTCCTCACCGCCACCAAGTTTGATGTTTTCCACGAGAGACAAAGACAGCTGGCGTTGTTTAATTCCACATTTTTTTAAAGCCTCTTTGTGCCATTTTATCAGAATCCTGCCACCCATTAATGTGTTTGAGGCCAAATTTTATGAGAGTCGGATTTACTGCAGTGGTCCTTAATAGATAAGAGGCTTTTGATGCCTTGTTAGTTTTTTTGTTACAAGTTGCAAAGGAATTTGCAGTGTGGAATTCAGTAACACTGTTATTTGTAAAGGTTTTGGCAGAATTAGTGTTTCTGAGTTTAAGTAATTGTGGACATTTAATTCATATTGGCTGTGGACAGCTTGGATTAAATGCTTCAGATGGTTAATTGTAGGGACTTTTCAAAGTCCTTATACTTTTGCCATCCTACTGAAAAAACAGACGCTATTATTAGTTTTAACAGACATGAGCTGACATCTGGTGGCCAATTTTGGGAACTGCATATTGAGAATCAGCATGTCCCTTGCCATTGTGACCCTACGCAATTGTAAAGCAGATAAATTAGATACAGAAGATGGATGAATTTCAGTATTGTATAAATTCACCTCGGTAAATTCTGCCAGCAGGGGGGCGGGGGGGCACCCTGGCCGTGCTCCATAGGCTACTGGCTACACTGCCAGCAAATCCCAACAGGAGGCACTTGGAAAAAACTGCGTTCAGTGAAGAATTGTTCCTTCTTGTGTTTCAGAAATAAACTTAAACGTGTCTTTTTGAAGTCGAACTTTTTTGTTGAGCGATACCAGTTAAATTTACCTCAGGTGTCCGCTGTCCGTGGAGCTGAAGCAGGCGGCACCGCGACAAATTTTTCGACACCGGGTTAAAATAAAACTAGGCCTAATGCTTATTCCAGTTTTAAAAATAAAAATTGCCCTAAATGGTTCGTGTTTGAATAAAATCGGGCGAACATTTTTTAAACCTAAAAAATGCAAAATTTCCAAAGCAATGGTAATAAAAATTTCACAACTCAGTTATTAATCGCGCAGGCCTGTACCCGCAGAGGTGAACTAGGCCGATGCCTACATGCTGCACAACCTCACGTCTGTTTATTAATACAAGAGAATATTATTATATAATTTTGGAAAACATTTTAGAGTGTTGTGTGATAAGTAATGTATACGTGATAATTCGTTTTAAAGAAACCATTGCATATTGCAGAGATATAGTGCGCGCGTGCAGAAACTGACCTTGGGGCGGCACCCAGCCCCGCCCCTACCCAGCACGTGCCTAGTGCGCGTTCATGTCGCTACAGGGGTCATGTCCAGTAGCATTTCAAGTCTTAAGCTCAGTGAGCCCGACTTGTGGAATTAGATTCCATAAAAATATATTGGCCTATTTTCAGTGAAAGAAATACTGAATTATTCACGCTATAGTTAAAAGTCAGTTATTGCTCAAATGTTATTTAATTGTCATTGATTCGCGCTGACAGGGACGGTCTGGGTGCCGCCGCAGACCCCCGTTAAGCCACCTGTCGCAGAAACTGCTTTTTAAACACCCCCTGACGTCAGTGGCGGTGATGTGTGCTGTCTGTGAGAGAGCCACGCACACCCATATGGTACAGACCTACCCGTCCCTGGTTAGTCTAGACTGGCTTGCTGGGGGAATCGGGGCGCGTTTCACGCTCGGAGCGACAGTTGGCCCCCGTGCCCACTGGGTTTGGAATAGCCGGCCGTCCCCGGTGCGCCGGACGCCGACCCAGGACAGCGCGGCCAGGCGGTGGGACCCCTTTGGACGGAGGGTGACGATTCGAGAGGCGGAAAACAGGCGAGGACCGCGCTTCGTTAATAAACCCCGGCGTCGGCAGCGAGGGTCTAAACCGATACACTTTACATTAGACGGGGATTAAGGCGGGTGCAATATAATGAAGGCAGAGGCGAGGTAAAATAGCCTACCAGCCAGAGAGACGGTTTTCCATCAAGCGCACTAATTATACACCATGGATTTGAGTAAGTTTATCTAAAGAATGAGATGCAAACAGGCAGCGGATGACATGCGCGGTAGACAGAAAGGATACGATCCGTACGGGGAATAAATACACAGGCTGTTTGCCCCCCGCCCCCTTATCGGCATCATAATTTAAAGAACCAGATGAAGATCGTTCCGAAAAGAAACACTCCATCTTCCTCATAAAACGGAATCTAGTACGAAAAAAATACGTCGGTCTTGGGCAGTTGCGTGAAATTTAATTTATATTAGATTTCCGGTGTTATTTAGGCTAAATGAAGAGATCTTGTATTATCTGCAGTTACAACAATTCGCGTTTAAATGGATTGTTCGACTGTTTCGTAATTTTAAAAACTGCAGGACTGATTTTGCGGGTGAATCAGTCATTCATTCGTCCTCCCGTTATTCGCGTGTACCTGTGCATGTTAACCGCAAACGCAGAAAGTACAGGAGCAGCGGGACGCTGTAGCTGCGATGCCACGCAGGGCACTGCGCTCCACCGGAGGATGTGGCCCTGAAGTCTGTTTTTATTATTGATTTAATAGGTACTAGATTGGCGAAAACGTGAGATCAGAGACTAACGGCGGCCCGGCCTGGCATCATGTGTCCCTGCAGACGGAGGAGCGTAGCGCTTGCTTTGCTCAGGGAGCTGTCAACAAGCAGGCACATTTAACCACTTAAATCTTGGAAAAAAGTGTGCGATCAGGCCCTGCACCAGTCATGATACCGGGAACTGCCTCGGCGATGCTCCCAGCCTCGGAAGCTGCTAAGATATACCAGACCAATTACATCCGCAACTCCAGAGCCATCGGACTCCTGTGGGCCATCTTCACCATACTGTTTGCGATCGTCAACGTGGTGTGTTTCATTCAACCCTACTGGATCGGGGATGGTGTGGACACCCCCCAAGCCGGCTACTTCGGCCTCTTCCATTACTGTGTAGGCAGCGGGCTGTCCCAGGAGCTCACATGCCAGGGAAGTTTCATCGAGTTCAGCTCCATCCCGTCGGGCGCCTTCAAGGCGGCGTCCTTCTTCATCGGGATGTCCATGGTGCTGGTCATCACCTGCATCGTCTGCTTTGCCCTTTTCTTCTTCTGTAGCACGGCCACCGTCTACAAAATCTGCGGCTGGATGCAGCTGGCTTCTGGTAGGTGCTTCTGTCTGATCTTTTTTAAAATTCCATTTTTTTGTTGCTTTATTATGATCTTACTGTGAAAAGGAGATACGCAGTTGGATGCTAATTTTTGAAAACTTTGGATCTCCAAACTGAACGTGCCATATGTTTTGTGTCGCGAATAACGACAGCATCACGATGAATGGGTTCGATTACTCAAATCAGACAAAGACAAACCTCGTAAGCTGGCACGGTCTCCTGCGGTAAACGAACAGGGGGAGTACCAGGTTGGTTTTACGGTTATGGAGGACAGTAAGCTACAGTCTACAGAAAAAAATGGGGAACAGACGAGGATGTTGTTAAATTATCTTTTTATCCTAATTATACCGCGTTATGCCAGCTTGCACAAAGTGTAAAGGTGAGTCGTAACTAAAATGAGTGAGGTACGTGTCTGTACTGGGATGCCCTATGTCTCTGTAGCGAAGAGTCATTGGCTATGGGATTTGGGAAATAGTCCGTGTTGATAATGATGGTCAATCCTTTCTGCTGATGGCTAAAACCACCTTACATGCATCGTGCCAAGGAACAACACAAACCCAAATTCACCATTCCAGTGCCCTCTGTTCCCCATCCTCTGGCTTCTTCTACCTGTTTTTAATTCCCTCTTATTTTATGATTATAATAATTATGTTTACCAGATACTCCAAAGATATTTACAGTAGGTAGTCTGACTCCATGATGATGGTGATAGTGGCATTATTCTGTGAGGCAGAATTAAAGCTCATGGGATTTATTTTAGGCCTAGATGTTTGTACTGACTGTTTGTAGTTCAGTGCAGGGTTTTCCTTCCCCTTTTTACCTTCTGATTACGAAAATCAAAACAGGTGTAGCAGGTGTACCTGGGGGAAATGGAGCCCTCTACTGGCTGGCTTCTGTAACAGCAAGCTCTTTCGTGCAGCCTTGGACCCTAAACCAAACTCCCGTCATGCTCCCGTAAGAGTAGAAGATGGGCTTTGATGTGTGATGAGTAAATGAATGAATGAACCTTCAACTTGTACGGTAACCAATCATTAGATGGCATTGTAAGTTAATCCCTTCCGCTGTGAATTTCTCCAATCACAGTAGCATATTTAACAGTCATATGTGAAAAATGGACCAATGACCAATAAGACCATCGGGCAGTATTGGTATGGTCCATACTCAGAGCTTCCCTAATTTTCTTTCAGTCTTCATTCAACAGATCAGCACTGTCCGGTGATAATCACGTATATTGTCTTATTATAACAACTTAACGTTGATAGCTAGCTAAGTAACATTATTGTAAATTGTTATTATAATATGAGATTGGCTTGTATCTTGTTGACAGTGATATTTGCCTCACTGACAACAACCTACATACGTCGATTTAAAATATTAAATTCCCTGCTGACTCCCTGTTATTATTTGTGGTGCTAAGGGTGTCTAAGGCTGTTTGTGTGTCTATTAACCTGATGAGTTAACCTCATTAACCTCTATGCCTATAACTAAATAGTCACAGGAACCATTTTCACCTCACTCTGTGTTTCTGCATGAGCTGAATGGTTGGTCTTTCTCCCTGCCTACCTGTGTGAGGGGCGGGGTGGGAAAATGAAGGGGGGGGGGGGGGGGGGGAGACTGCAGAATTCGGGAGGGGGTGACAGTGAGTTAAAGGGCGGAATTACAAGGAGGAGAAGCAGAGACGGGGTTTTTGGGAGCAGAACATACTGTGGAGGAAATTAGCGAGAAGAAGAGAATGTCATAGATATGTCAGAAGTTCTACCAGAAAATCTCCATCACAGCTGGGTGATGATACACAGGGGTTCGTCCCTATGCAGCAGCTGATGGCCGTCAAATCTGTCTCAGCACCTGAGTGTCCCCCCCCCCTTCTCTCTATATGTGTCTCAGCACCTGCCCCCCCTCCCCCATGTCTGTAATGCTAACAAGCCATTTGTGACTGGGATGTTCAGCTCTGCCTCGCCAATTAGCAGAGCCAGGAGTGGGGAGAAGAGCTAGCAGCTCTGATGGAACCTTCTGGAAAAGCGACAGAGAGATACCAGGGGAGGGAGGGACGCAGAGATTGGGGAGTGAGAACTGACTGAGGTGTTCAGCTTGACATCTTCTGCTCTGTCTTGCAAACACAGTGTTGTGGAGGGACGTACGTTATAGCTATGGAGGGGGAAAATAAACATCTAATTAAAAACGCCGTACTGTGGTGCACAGGGAAGCTGCTCGGCTGCTGCAGTGGGACCAGGGGAGCGGGGCCGACAGCTGGTGCCGCATCCTGACGGGGGGCCACACGTGGGGTCAGGGGCTACGATATCTATTCATTCTGACACATTCTGACACCAATTCTGCTAATTCTGCATTTAAGTAACAGAAAATCGTGTTTCTAGGGGATTTTGTTGCGGAAAATAAAAAATGTGGCATGTACACAGCTGACAGTGATGCACGGAGAGGCTCGCCATCATGACACATGCAAACAGAGACATGCTGACACGGTGACAGCCACCGGCTTCAAGTGACAGCCCGGCCACTCTATCTGCTAAAGTGCCTCATTACCCAACGCCCACCAATTACAGCTGAGTGCTGCACCCAGAATGCAGGGGGAAAATTACCCAGAAATGCCACATGGGGGCCAGTCTGTTCCCTCGTCACAGCCTGTGTCACAGAGGAGCAGAGACTTAAGTAGAGAAGAAACTTAGGCCATCGACTGTGCTTATTATGGGATGTCCCCCCCCAGCAAGCTGTTGGTGACCTCAGCAGGGCCTTATGAGCAAGACCCCTGATGTCGGAAACCATGGAAACCATGCCTATCTGGCAACAAGGTTAAGATCTCAGAGTAAAATTAAGTTTCCGCAATTTCCAATCAAACCCGCCACACTCCACCCCCCTTAAAGCATTTCGGGGGCAAGATCTTTTTATAGGCTGGATGAGTCATTGTTTTTGCGCAGGCTCATTGGCTGGCTCTCATGGGTGACTGCTCCGTATCAGATTGCCATTTCCCAAGCTTAATGACAACATCAAAAGCCGCAAAGTTTTGCTTATTAAAGCAGTGATTCTGCTTCTCATTTCCATACGCCTTCATTAAAGCTGTAATTGCATTTTTTTTTCTTGTGAATGAACCTATTACACAGAGTGTGAAGGCCTCTTGAACTTTAACTGCCCTCATGCCAGCAGGCACCCTGGGACACAGTCAGGAGGTAACAGCGCCTCCCCCAGGCCCGGAGGAGCGCACACATGCTCCTCCCACTCTGCTTCCGCCGTCCCCCAGAGCATCCTGGCGACACTCTTAGCAAGTCCTGAACATTTGTGAGGATGAAAGTAAATTGATTGCGGTTGATTCCTTGTTTGTGTTTACGAGAGACGCACAGGTGCCAGAACAAACCCATTAACATGGTCCAGAACTTCCAGTAGGAGGCTGTCTTACGTCTCATTCTTCACTATTTTATGTCTGGAAACTAGAGAAACGTTAATGAGTGTGACAGGGCTGAGAGGGGGGAGGCTTGTTAAAATCCATCGAATTCCCCCTTGTACGCATCCCCCCTGAACCAGAGCAAAAGCCTCGGTGACCTCTGACCCCTTTTGGTGAGAGCAACTACTACTCAGCTTGTGAAGAAGGTGTGAAGACCCCCCCCCTCCCTGCATGAGCCCTGTCCTCTTCAGTGGTTCTGCTTTTAAACCACCTTTGAATCCACTCTTCCATTGTTGTCTGTTTAATGTTTAATTCAGCCAATTGACCCTGTGTTTAATTAGACCCTTGGGGGGCGAGAGGGGTGACAGACCAGACAGGGAGGGGTTGCGGAAGACAAGGAGGTGAAGCACTTGCACTCTATGCCCCTCGTAGTGCCATGACCATACTGGGTGTCAAACCTTCAGTCAGAACGCAGGGTCTGTTAGCACTCGGTACCGGGCTCTGTGTAGGTCGAAGGCTTTACCGCCAACGCCCATCTGCCAACTTTACTATCCAATTTAACGTCATCTCAGATGGTGGGGTTTGGCCCTGCCCCCCTCAGAAGATGTTATCCTAGGCAGCTGCCTATGTCGCGTAATTGTTATGGAGGCCTGTTATGGAGGCCTGCCCCCGGCACCAGCCAGGTCGGACTGATTTTCCAGTCCACATCTGTGCAAATTCTGCACATCGGCCACAGACGGCCCATTATTAGGCACCATGTCAGTGTCAACATCAACTTTCAGTTTATCTGAAGCTCCGAACGTGAGATCGAAAGATGTTGGGGGGGGGGCATGAGGCAGAGTGTCAATTTCGCCGCTCACCTGTCTGGCAGGAGAACCCACGGTAGAGAATTTCAGAGGCTTAATTTGTATGCCGCTGCTCTCTTGTTCAGGCGTCAGGGTGAATGACTTCATCAGGCTCTGGAGGCAGCGCGTGGCTCTGTCCCCCTGCCCCCCCCCTTGCCGCACAGAATGGATTTTCTGTTGCCACTAATCTCCAGTATCGTCGCACCGGAGAGAAGCCGGCAGATTTATTTCTCTCACTCTCGGCATGGAGGGGCGACGCCAGTGGGTGTGACAAGGACACTGTGACCTCCTGAATGCAGCCAGTTGCTAGTGTTTGGGTACTGCAGACACAGCACAGCGTATAGAGCGTGTTTTTGGTGCCAATGTGGGTTTTAAGGGGTGTGTGACCTGGCTCCAGATGTTCCGACATCTCTGGATCATCTGAGGGGGGCAGTGTGGAAAGAGGGGACGTATTCAGGTGAGGATCTAACACGGACCAGCAGGGGGTGACAAGGAGCAAGAGCGAAATGTTGCTGGTGGGGATGTTTGTCTTAGCAGAAATAGAACAGCATCTGTACAGTCCAGCTCCCCAACCGTCAAACCCTCAGGTCAACGTCTATCCACATGGTGTAAAGTGACACTGACTTTGCACAGTCATTGCAGAATCTGATGGATCCTCAGGGATTTTTTTAAGGGAAATGCGGTTCACGGCTCAAGGGGGGGGGGGGCTTTGAGGTATCCATCGCAGGCCAGCTGGCTATAATACCTCCTGGAGTGTG